TTGTTGAGGATTTGACCTCTGTTGCTGGATTTTCTTAACTGATCACGATAGGGCTTCGGTCAGAAAGCAGGCTGGTCATCAGGGTGTTTAAATGGTTTACTGAAGAATTACTGACAGGACGGTGCAAATAAATTGAAGCAGTTTCTGAAAATACAATAATAATACAGATTCAAATTACCATTTAAAAATTAACATCAGTGAGCAAACAAACTTTAAATATCAGCATTAATTCCTTTCTAAAGCACTGTTTAAATTTGAATGATGCAGAACAACACCTGGAATCAGTCTATTTCCAACTGCCCAAATCTCAAGACCAACAGCCAAATACAAAGATAGTTTCAACACTAAATTCCAACCATTAAGAGCAAAACAGACATTCATAAACTATAGAACACACTTGTAACTAAATAAGTGCTGTCAGAAGTGACAACCAACATCCACCTATTCATGACACATGACTAACACCACAACTTACATCGTCAATGACTGCGGCACCAGTCTCAACAGTAAACAACAAACAGATCAACTGAACGTCAAGAAGAAGAAATAAACGGAACAAACCTCCTTCCAATAAAGGGAACCACTTCAAAATAAAAGCATAGACATGAGTCATTGAAGTACTTGAAGAATTAATAACAACAATGTTGTTTACACCAGATTCATGGCAGACAGGATGGAGCAGAACAGTTCTTCGTTGCATTGAACTAAGAAGTTCCACCAGCTGTGTGCCAAATGCTGCTGTCACTAGTCTGTGGGAGCAGATCAAACCTCGGGCTTTAGCTGAAATCGTTACGCCGGTCAACTGAACAAAGGAACAACAACCCAGCATGGCAGCAGAAAGGTCTTAAACCCAGCAGATGATTTTATTCTGATCTGACTGGAAACCAGAGACGCTCTGTCTCCATTATCAGAGTGAAGTTTAATGTTGCTTTATGACTGCGGTCTCTCTGTTGTGGCAGTAAGAGTGAATGATCAGCTCAAAGGTCTGCAGATGTTAAAGGAAGATATGAACAAAGCAGCAACACACAACGCTCTGCCATCTTCCTCTCTGCATTGACAACGTATGCTGGGTTCCCCAAACTGATGTTGACTCTCAGCAAAACACCAACATGTGGAGAAACAAGTTCAAGAACGACAGCAATATGAGCCTTTCTCCTGGCTCTGCAGTCTGAGGTCATTCTGACTGCTCAGAACTCCAGAAAACATAAACATATGTACATTACTGCTGCTGTCGCTGACAGAACGGCACTGATGAAAACAACACGAGCTTCTGAAGCAGAAGCCACCCTCGCTGCAGGAGACGTGTCGGTCGGCAGAGAAACACGACTCAGCAGCGACCGCATGGAGCGGACCAGACAGATGGCAGCGCAGCCTCTTGCTGCCACCACTTTGGTGTTTTTTATAGAACAGCTCCTAACAACGCAGGCATAGGACACACAGCGACCACAGGGGGCGCCACTCAAACTGGAATGGGGATTGTAACTTTCTCAGGAGAAAATTTTATGTTCCAACAAGAAATAAACACCTGAGAGCATCTTGTCCCAACAAACCTTAATGTTTTTATTTTAGTTTCTGGAGTTTGTCACTGGATTCCCTGAGAGCAGAATGATTCAAACGATTCAAACGATTCAAATGATTCAAAAGATTCAAAAGATTCAAAAGATTGAAATGATTCACTGTCATTATTACTGGGGAGAAGAAAAACACTGTAAACAGCAGCAGGGGAGAAGGAACGCTGCTGCTTCCAAACAGACGGACACAAACGATACGCATAACACACACACTAACACAAAACACACACTAACACAAAACACACACACACATACACACACACACATTAACATAACACACACAGTAACACACAGTCTGGTCCAGGTCTCAATCCGTCCACTAACGTCCTCGCTTTGCTTGATGTCCTCTGTCCCACAACTTGACATAAAGACCAACTCTGAGCCAATCAGCAGGCTCCGTCTGATTTAAGGAGACGTGACCTGACTAGTGAGTAGCAGCACAAACAGATTCCTGCTCTTTAAGGTGGAAATGAGTTTTTATCTGATTCAGTGAAACGTTTCAAATTCTGGTCTCTGTGAAGCTGTCAACATGTTGCTGTCTCTGTTTACCTTCAGGGGACACAACTACCCTCAGCTGTCCACTCAGAGGACACACACACACACACGCACACACGCATGCAAACGCTTCACACTAATGGACCTGCAGCCTGCCGATCCACTGCAGAAACAACGTAAACAAACGTGAGTAGATGGAGGAAATGTGAGACTCACCACTGGCGGTGTGGCATCGCAGTGTTGCTGTCGGTTACTGAGCATCTCACTGAGATCTAACAGAGCAGCACTGCTCCTCCTCCTCCTCCTCTTCCTCCTCCTTTTCCTCTCTGCCGTAATGTCAGGGACCAACAGGATTACGGAGCCGTAATCAGTCAGAGGAAGGCAGATGGAGGAAAAATGGAAAACTGACGGGAGAGGGGGAGGAAGAGGAGGATGAAGCTGTCACTAATTTATGTTACGGCTCCAACTGAAAGCTAGTGGTGGTCTGTTAAAAAAACAGGAAGGGACTGAAATAATTTTCTGTTTGCTTCTATATTTAACATTTATATTTATTTATGTTTGTTTTTGACAGATTAAATGTGTTTGTAATTTTTTCCTCTGATATCAACCAAAATGTGATTTTATTGATTTATTAATTTTGATGAATATTAATTTATTTTTATTTATTTTTGGTCAGTGTTTACTTTTGTATTTTTATTAGATTTGTATTTATTTCACTTTATGAAATAATGTATTAGTTATGTAAGTTAAGCTTACTTCTACTTTTTTCATTTATTCACTTCATTTTCTTTCTCTTGGTACTTATTGATGTATTTATTTCTTCTACATTTACATTGTCAGAACACAAATATTGTCTGAGCAAAGTGCTGTGAAATTAAACAAATACAAATTCAGTTTGCTATTTTTTCCACAATAAATTTAAATAAGTCTGAGATATTGCTGTTCGAATACATTAGCCGATTATTTTTAACATATCTACAAACATTAGTAATGAGCCAGTTTACTGACCTAATAGTTTATTGATTAATCTGCTCCATATTTATCTGATTTATGGTGATTAGCAGCATTTTTAGCTTTTATGCTAGCATGCTAGCAACTTCCCAGCAGTGCTGTGTCTCTGCAGACCAGAGGTGGCGCTAGACTTTTGGTTGTCAGTCATTTTGACAGACGTAAAAAAGATATCATAATTTATTTGTCCCCGTCAGTATTTAAATGTTAATAATAACGGCACGTTAAGTCTGAGCAGAACGTCTTCATCCTGCGGCCTGGGCCCAGTGATGAAGAGGACGAGGATCTTCATCAGTCTGACCCAGAGCGGCTCCCAGCAGGTTCTGGTGGACAGAAAGGAGAGAGCGCTGCAGGAGGTCGCTGACCTTCCCCTCAGACACGTCGCTCTGCTCTCACACGGCGCAGCGACCAGAGCTTCCTCCGTCTGCTTCCCACTTCTGGGAAAAAAAGCTTAAAATACGGATCATGACGAGCTGCACAAGTGCAGATAATAAGGTCACCACGGCAACAGCGACGCAACCACCAACACCTGAAGATAAGATCCTGAAGGAAAACTGTTGGCTTCAAACCAGGAAGAAAACATGAAGCCTGGAACCAGAAGACAGGAAGTAGGAAGGTCCAATAAGGACACTGCTTCCTGTTCTGAGGGAGGATGGATGGATGGGCTGACCTCTGACCTGCAGTGACCCCACTCCCCCTTTCTCCTGATGGACCCATGAACACTCAGCTCCTGGTTCGGTCTGGATCATCCTTAAAGGACCGGACGGTCCTGAACCGGATCAGATATGTTGAAGGAGGGTTTCTGTCTGTGTATCTTTCCTGAGGATAGACGGTTCTGGTGTTGGTCGGGTCCCTGAGTGCTTTCGGTTCTTTACAGATGAGGATTCATTCCAGGGGTCAAACTGAGCAGAACCGAGGACATGGAGCGTCTGCCATAGAGGCTCCAGCACAGAGCCTCTATGGGGGGAACGCCAGCATAGAAAGGAGTAGATCTGAATGACTGGACCAACCAAGGCTGTCGTGGACCTGATGGAGTCCAGGTACTGTCACTTCCTGTTAGCATGTGGTCGGTGTTGAAGCTGGAGATGTAAACCAGGCGTGTGCTGGTACTCACCGGGCTCTCAGCGCGCTGACCGTTGACTTATCAATCCTGCAGAGACACAGAGAGGAGCAGACGTTAATGGACGCCGCTCTCGTCCGGTTCTGATAACAGGCGGCGCAGAACAACATCTCCAAGGGGGAGGAGGAGATTTACGGCCACGTTCTCCATTAACCCAGGTAACCTGAGAGGGAGGTGTGAGCCCAGAGCTTCACAGCAATAAAACACCCGTTTATTAAAGCGCCGCCACGGCGATGCCTCACACATCAGCTTCTGGACTGAAGGAGGAAGGCGCCATAAAACACCCGAGTTAAGGAACCGAACAGCATGGGACGGATGTTTGTTTCTGGCCATGAAATGTAAAAAAACAACAGGCATCTTTAAAACGGTTCTTCTGTTTGATCATCCACACATATTTAAGCTTAAACTCATTGAACCCCAAGTGAACTTTTATTTTTCAAGGATGCAGAAGCTACAAAACGTTAGACTGGTGAATTAACAACATGAAACCTTTTTAAAGTTGATTTTTGTTGGAAATGTTTCTGTATTAGAGGGAAAGTTTTGTTTGCTGAAGCTTCTCGTCCTCCGCTAGCAGCAAGAATTTGCAGAAAGAATGACTGAGGATCAGTTTCTCGTTTCTATGGATACGACGACATATTAAAGCGCCAAGCTGAAAATAATGTTAAAATAACAAAACTTTATTTGAGACATAAATTTATTGGGTGTTTATGTGATGTCCTAGACGTTGCTTTGCTAGTCGTAGTGTCTTCTGCTAATGTTAGCGCTGTGTGCTAGCTGTTAGGTCCTTTAGGACAGACCTGTACGGAGTGTTTTGAATATTGTTACTACATTAACAGTTTGACAGTGTTTTATCTGTAGGGTAGGAGTTTATAAGTTCTCACTTCTTCCTACCCCATTTTGAGCATGATATGTTAACTGAAACAAAAAATCTGTATTTTCTCTTCTTTTTTATGCACTTCTTGTTACTGTGCACTATTTCATTTTTATATTTGTATCATGTTCGAATAAAATTTCATTTCATTTCATTTCTGTTCTGATCCAAACGCTTTCAGTGACGTTCTTGGCGCTAGCGTTAGCTAGCTTGCTAACTACCCTAAGGCCTGGATGGACAAGTCCAACGTTGTTCACGACTTTTAATCAGTTTAGGGATAAAAAGTTTCTGCAATGTGAGATAATCGTACCTCTGCTATCAAACTACCAAAATGGCCGAACGACCGGTCACAGTGGGACTCTCTGTGACCTGTAGGGGTGCACCAAAGTGAAGGCACAAAAACAAGGAGCCTAACTAAGAACTCGGACCAAAACACATCTTTATATAGACCACATCTGGATGAACAGGAATCTAACAGCATGGTATTTCAACCTTTAATATTACATGAAAGCAGTTCTCAGTATTTACAGCAGGGGATCAGTTCTGATCTGGGGAGTATTAAAACCAAACCAGAACCCCAGCAGAACCCAAACTGAGGCTTCTGGGAAAATAATGTCAGTTTTCTGCCACTGTCTCTTCCTGCGTTGATATTTATAGGCTTCAGTTTCTGAAGGCTTTACATGTCGTGGTGATGTTTTGCTTCTTCGCTTTGTTTCTTAGAACAAAACAGGAACCAGTGGATGAAGAACCTTCGCTGAGTCGACACTTTGTGGCTGAATGCAAAGGAGTGAGCGGCCGCTGGCGGCTGTAAACTGCTCCTCCTGCATTATTAAAGACAAAAACTATCAGCCGGCTCTGTCTAAGCGTTGGATGGATGGATGAAAATATGGAGAGAAATTAACATCTGATTCCTCAAACAAGTTGAAATCAGGTGAAGATGAGGGAGGAAGTTTTTTGGAAGGTGGAAGGTGAGGGAGCGTGGATGATGCTGCAGGATTCAGCGATGTGTGTCCTGATCCCATTTCTGACAGATCGACTGAACCAACAGGATTTACATTCCTGGCCGCTGCTGCTCTCCTCTCATCTAGAACCAGACACGGGTCGCTCTGCTGACGGCTCACAGGAAACCCAAAGAGTGACGGCGAACAGAGGTGGAAGCAGCTGCAGCATCAAGAGACGCTGCAGGCTGACAGAGCAGAGATGCTGAAGTTCAGGCAGACGGAGGGAAGGTTCCCTGTTTAAAGATGGAGAACCAGGAAGAACCCTGGTTCTGTCGTCAGTCAGACGATAAATCACACTGAGATTATTCATTTAAACACCTACAGTTCGATAAACTCGGTTCGATTTGGACCTAGAAAATCTGGCGTTTAGTTAAAATGTTTTCCCTGTGTTTTTTTCTCTCTCTCTGGCTTCCCTCCTCACTCCATCAACACGATTAAATCAGGAAGGTCCAGAGTCTCTGGTTCAACAAGTGGGTCGTTAGCAGGACTCAGCAGAACGCTACCCGGGTTTCTATCAACCTTTTTTATGCTCATTTTGATACATCGCATTAGAAACAGTTGATGGGATTTGAAATTATATCCTCAATCCGGAAAAGAGTTAACGCTCTAAAGAGGAGATGGAAAATATTTACCAAATAAGTTCTGCCGTAGCAAATGCCACCCTCTACTGGTGGGTCTGTGCCTTACCAGAGGCACCAGACTCAGAAAAACCTCCATCATGACGGAGTGAACTCTATATGCTCCATGCTAGTTAGCAACATCTACTTCCTCTTTATCACAGCCATGCAAAGCGTCAACATCTGACAAAGTGACGCTTTGCGTAGCCTGGTTGATTCGCTCTAAGATGGAAACACGACAAATTCACATTTTCTTTTTTTTAAAAGGTTTGCTCAAATGAACTCACTTTGGACACTAATGGGCTTAATGGTCTCTATAAAGGGGGTGAAAACTTTTCCACATAGATCCAGGTTGGTTTGAACAGCTGCTGTCCCTGAGGAAGTGAAGATTAAATTAAATTTCTCTGCTTAGCTTCCCTGGCCGGCTCTTAGGATCGATTTAACCTCTCAGGTTTGATTATCAGGACTCCTCATCAGCTCTGGGGCATCTGTGCTGATGTTTATCTAGGGAATCCTCTGGCTCTGATTTGTCTTTTTACAGTCTTTATAATCCAGCTCTAACAGGATCTGAGTTGTTACTGAAGGAACCTTTCTGGGTGGTAACTGGTCAACTTTAAGCTCAATAATAAATGCCTGAATAAAATGTAACAACAAAATCTACAAACTCCTACTTTTCTAACTTCTTGCAGCAGCCGGTTGTGCTGCAGCACGAGTTTAAATGTTCAGATTCAGTTTCTTCCCGAACTGAATTGTTGTATTTTTATGCATTTTTATCTGCTGTTTGCTCCATGGATGTCACTTAACACACATGGATTTAACCCATCACTGCAGGATTTGAACTGAAATAATGCAACAGTCTCAGGCTATGGCGCACTAACAAGGATTCACTCACATCGGCATGCTGGATGCATGAAACTGAAAGTGACGTCTTGTGATTTGGCTAATTATTATCTGACCAGTAAGGGGCAGAACATTGTACAAATGATCTAGTACAAATATCTTAGTTTGCCTTAAATAAGACAAAAATAACTTAGAAATAATTTTGCAGCATGACGTAGAAACTTATGTCATTAATGATTAAATACTGATAAAAAGTACTAGTTAGACTTTTATATTTTCACTTGTAACCTGGGAAAAACATGTTTTTTACAATTTTTTTTTGCTTATTTGAAGAATTTGTGGAAAATTCTTGGAATTTTTTTTTCTTGTTGCTTTTCTTAAATATTCAAATGAAAAAGCAGCTTGGGAAACTGTTATACTTCGATACATTGATAATATACACATTATTGGTTGAGGTTTGCAAATCAGCCAATCCAGGAAGATAATTTATTTTCCTTGTTGCTTATTGGCTGAAGCCCGAACAAGACATTAGCTTGTTCTGTAGCGCTAAGATGGTTTCCACTGAGAGTATTAATATGAAGGTGTATTTGGTGTTAGAAATGTTAAAATAAACAGTTCAAAGTGTTTCTAGAGGAGGTCTGAAGTATTCCTGAGGTTCACTGTATATTCAATCCCAGGTGGTTTGTTGTTAATTAAACCAGTGGAAAAAGAAACAAGATGGCGACAAGATTTTTTTAACAGTACGACGTTTTGTGAATTATGCAAAATAAATAAACTAAATAGGATCCAGTGAGTTTAGATTAGAGGTTTTCCATTGAGACGTTCCTGACTGACGCTGTTTGTCTTTAACTGTGTTGGTTCTTTAATCAATATTTAAATTTCTCCATCTGTAAAACATTAGCATCTGAGTTAATATTTATGTGAACTAATTTTACCTTAAATACACAATAAACACTCTCTAGATTCTATCATTAACGTTTTCTAGCTGGTCCTGGTTTTGCTCGCCTGTGGTCCGGTTCTGCTGGGCTCTTTGTGTCGAAACAAACCCGTTTAGGTTCCTGACAGCAGAAAGTTGCTGATTAACTGCAGCCCAGCAGAACCGCGTCCAACCAGAAAAGAAGTAGTTGGGAAAAGGGATTTAAGCTGCTTCATTTACGGATCTTGCTGAAACTGTGATGTCATAGTGATGTCACTGCCATGCAGATGAGGCAATCAGCCTGAAAAGCATTGAAAGTGTGAACATTTTAGATCATTTTTGCCCCGTCTGGAACAATGAAACAAGCTGAGGCTCACCATCCGAAGCCGCCGAAGGACACGCTCCTCTTCCTCCGCAGCATGGTTCCTCCTCCTCCTCTTCCTCCTTTGTCTCCTCTTATTGTGTCGGATCCTCCGGCTCTCCTCGCCGCCGCCTCATCTCTCCTCCTATAAATACTCTCATCCCGGCCACACGCTCCTCCGCCTCCTCCCTCTGCGTCTTCCTCCTCCCGTTAATGTTTCCCTCTTCCTCCTCCTCTTCCTCTCATACTTCGGTTGGCAGCACACTGAGAGCCGGGGGGGGCACAGGGGGGGCATCAGCCCTGATGGAGAGGAAGCCTGAAAACTTATCCATAATGGATGGAGATACAAGGAAGGAAACATTTCAGCTTACATAACTCAGACCTCAGCCTAAAGCTCACAGATTTACACATTTAATCACAGAGGTAGCTCGCAGGAAAAACATTTTATTGTAATAAACATTCACACACTCATCTTTGAGGTCAGTGTTTCTGCTGCGGCCGATGAAAAGCAGACATTTCTTCATGTTTACAGATTTCGGCTAGCTGAAGCTCTTCTTTGTGTCTTTAACCGGTTCTGACCCGGTCTGGCCTGGCCAGATCCATCTCCGTTAGCGGTTCCTGCCTGGTTCCTCTCCGTTTTTCATAACCACTCAGCGGTGGTACAAGCCGGACCAGGAATCCATTCGTTGATTCACAAACCGATGATTCTGTGTTCAAATCTTTTTATCATTTATGATGGAAGAGCAAACAGCATCAACAACAAATATACCGAGCAGAGGTGGAATTCAGCTAATCCACTAATATTTTACACATTTTGGAAAGGTTTAGCGCCCTTAGCTTCCCCTGAATTAATTTTCCAACCCTGTGGAGGGAAATATAACACGTTGTGGGTGTCAACAGAGTTGAATTTAGTGCTTTAGCATTAGCTTATGCTTTGTTGGTCGAGCACTTTAGAGTTAGTGGAACTAATGTTTAAGATTAGTGCATTAGCGCAGATAGTGTTTTAGCTAGCAGTGGTCGCCCAAGGGAATATATGCTAACGACCAACACGCTCAGGTGTACTTCAATCCTCAGAAGTCCACCGGACGTCCGTGAAAAGGTAAAGTTCTACGACCGCGTACTTGGTGTCAGACAGCAAACTGCTCAGACTGTTTCGTATGCAACATTGACCTGCTGATTAGTCGTCATAGCAAGTTACAATATGGATGTGAAGTGTGACTGCCATTCTCTGTTCAGAGCTACAAGGTTGTACTCCAACCTGGAGGAGGAACAGTCGATGCGCCCAACTAGCTCAAATGATGGTTTTAAAGAAGTTTTCCTCCAATGATCCAAGAGAGAGATGTTGTCTCAGGCTTTCACCACCGACTGGGTCACTCCTGGCCTCAGACATTCAGAAATCTTGGTGAAGGAAGACCAGGGTTGAAGGTCAACCTTGGCTCCTGGAGTTCTCCACACCACTGGATGTTACACCTGTAAGGTAATTACTGAGAGAAGAGCCTCCCTGCAGGGGGAGGCTCCGTGTTTCCGACTGGGTCACTGGGATCCAGTTCCCCTCTCATAGTAACTTATGTTCCCGTCTTGATGTTCCTCTCAGGTTTGGACTCCTGACCTGAGGATTTCTAAATGTTCTGGTAAAATGTAAGCTGTGCTTAAATAAATCAGTCAGATGTTTCAGTCTGGAGGCGGTTAATGTGTCACTGAGACGACCTGGGCAGGAACATTTCTGAGCCAGTCCAAGAAATCAGTTTCCACTGAAGACGACGTGAATGGAAACCCAACAGATGACTGTCGGAGAGTGAGGTGAAGCCGCGCTCCTCTGAAGTGGAGCTCCGGGTTTAATTCTCTGGCAGCTGAATGCATTTACATCTAATTACCTCTGAACGAGGGTTTAGAAAGTCTAGTGTGAGCTGTAGTCACTTCACGCCCTCAGTGGCCTCCTTCCTGCTGAGAACGTAAAGGAAACAGCTGCTAGCGCCCCCTAAAGGCTGATTGTGAAACTTCAGATCAAGATAAAAACTAATTTAAAGATTAATCAGCAGCTGCACCCATGGCATGATGGGTAACCTGGAGATCTGTTTGGTAGCAACATGCTGCCATCCAGCCACGTCTTTTTTAGGGACGTCCGTCCTCCAGCAAGACAATACCAAAGCATGTTCTGCATGCGGCACAGCAAACTGGCTTCGTAGTGAAAGAGTTAAGATAGTAGACTAGTCTACCTGCAATCCAGACCTGTCTCCCATTGAAGATGAAAATCATTATGAAGACTCGGGACTGTTCACCAACTCAAGTTATAAATCAAGCAAGAATGGAAAGATCTTCTGCAGTTGGTGTTGTCAGTTCCCAAACGCTTACCGAGTGTTGTTAAAAGGAAAGGTGATGTAACAGTGGTGAAGTAAATATCTTGTCTTTGTAGTCATTTCAATTGAAGAATTATAAAACATAATACATTTATGTTTTACACAACGTGCCAACTCCAAAGATACCGGATGGCCCTTTCTGGCCCCAAATGTTCATCACCAGATGAAATTCAGCTGCTGACTCCCTGAAGCTCTGGATGGACACATTCACACCTCCTGCCTGAAGACCCCAGCATTATTCCAAAGAAAATTATGAAAACAATTCCTGCTCCAGGAGGGAACGATGGCAGCTGAGTCCCAGGTCAGAGCATATGTCCGGTGGGCCTGTGCCAGCTGGGGCCGGTGAGAGGGCGCGGTTCTGTAGGAACCAGAACATTTTGTTCTGAGGAGGGAGGCCAGCCTGAGCAGGTGGCCACACATCACGCTCCATGTGACGCTGCAGACATTCATCAGCTTCAAGTCAACAGTCTGTAAAGAGACACCTGGACGCTTAAATACCTCCAGTTCAGCCCTTTACCTGCTGCTGGTTCAGAGGACAAACATCCGATCCAAAGTTTAGCTCTAAGGTCAGGGTGGGAGGAAAACCTGGAAGTGAATAAACTCAAGCACTTATTCAATTCTTCACTTTGGATCAGAGGATCATGGTTTATTGCTAAATTCTTCAGGTAAAATGTGGAAAGGGGCACTAAACAATTTCTAACTAACCTACAAGAATCCTAACTGTCCAAACAATCCCTAGCTATTCCTGTCCTAGCAATTCCTAGTAGTCCTAACAATTCCTATCAAACAATTCCTAACTATCAAACAATTCCTAACAGTCCTAACAATTCCTAACAGTCCAAACAATTCCTAACAGTCCTAACAATTCCTAACTATCAAACAATTCCTAACAGTCCTAACAATTCCTAACAGTCCTAACAATTCCTAACAGTCTTAACAATTCCTACCAGTCCTAACAATTCCTAACTATCAAACAATTCCTAACAGTCAAAACAATTATTAACTATCAAACAATTCCTAACAGTCCTAACAATTCCTAACAGTCTTAACAATTCCTAACAGTCCAAACAATTCCTAACAGTCCTAACAATTCCTAACTATCAAACAATTCCTAACAGTCCAAACAATTCCTAACAGTCCAAACAATTCCTAACTATCAAACAATTCCTAACAGTCCTAACAATTCCTAACAGT